CCTCACCAATCACATCCTCACCAATCACCACTCACCCTCACTGCTCACCCTCACCGCTCACCCTCACCACTCACCCTCACCACTCACGCTCACCCTCACCACTCACCCCTCACTAATCACCACTCACAACTGCCACTCACCCTCACCACTAACCCTCACCACTCACCCTCACCACTCACTAATCACCTCTCACAACCGTCACTCACCCTCACCACTCACTCTTACCACTCACCCTCACCACGCACCCTTACCACTCACCCTCACCACGCACCCTCACAACAACCACTCACCCTCACAACAACCACTCACCCTCACTACTCACCCTCACCACTCATCCTCACCAATCACACCCTCACCAATCACCACTCACCCTCACTGCTCACCACTCAACCTCACCACTCACGCTCACCCTCACCATTCATCCCTCACTAATCACCACTAACAACCGCCACTCACCCTCCCCACTCACCCTCACCACTCACCCTCACCAATCACCACTCACCCTCACCACTCACTACTCACCCTCACCACTCTCCCTCACCACTCTCCCTCACCACTCTCCCTCACCAGTCACGCTCACCACTCACCACTCACCCTCACTACTCACCCTAACCACTCACCACTCACCCTCAACACTCACCCTCACCGCTCACCACTCACCCTCACCACTCACCCTCACCACTCACCCTCACCACTCACCCTCACTACTCACCCTAACCACTCACCACTCACCCTCAACGCTCACCCTCACCGCTCACCACTCACCCTCACTACTCACCCTAACCACTCACCACTCACCCTCAACACTCACCCTCACCGCTCACCACTCACCCTCACCACTCACCCTCACCACTCACCCTCACTACTCACCCTCACTACTCACCCTAACCACTCACCACTCACCCTCAACGCTCACCCTCAACGCTCACCCTCACCGCTCACCACTCACCCTCACCACTCACCCTCACCACTCACCCTCACCACTCACCCTCACCACTCTCCCCCTCACCACTCTCCCCCTCACCACTCTCCCCCTCACCACTCTCCCCCTCACCACTCTCCCCCTCACCACTCTCCCCCTCACCACTCTCCCCCTCACCACTCTCCCCCTCACCACTCTCCCCCTCACCACTCTCCCCCCTCACCACTCTCCCCCTCACCACTCTCCCCCTCACCACTCTCCCCCTCACCACTCTCCCCCTCACCACTCTCCCCCTCACCACTCTCTCCCTCACCACTCTCCCCCTCACCACTCTCCCCCTCACCACTCTCACCACTCTCCCCCTCCTAAAGGAATCTACAACCTTCGATTCGTCCTTTGTGCGATTCAAGGAATCGATTCCTGGCATGTTGGGGGTTTACATTTTGAACGACAGAGTTTTATTTTCATTGATATGTTATGTTTTAATGTTTTCAGGAGTTTTTAATAACATTTTTGCCCCGGTCAACGCCGGATATTTCCCGTTCGTAGCAGTTTATATCGACTTTAACCAACTTATAGTAAACGGGAATCGTCCGACTCTAAAGGAATCTACAACCTTCGATTCCTTTTCGCGATTCAGAGAATCGATTCTTGGCGCGTCGGGTTTAAAAGTAATTACACGCTTGTATTTTCATTGGTATGTAATGTTTTAAAGTTTTCAGAAGATTTTAAATGTATTTTCCCCCCGGGCAACGCCGGGTATATCGAGTTTATACCACAAAGTCGTCGCTTGACACGGGTGGGGTGTCAAGGCCTAGTACCGTGCAGAGCCTCCGGCCTTGCCTAGATTGCCTACACAGCAGAGGCTCCGTACTGGGGCCAATACCCCCCCCCCCCCCCGCGCTACAATAATACTGTCTAATCGCTATAATTTTATTATCTACCGACCCTATAATAGTAATTGCACACATTGGGGTGGAAGGGGAGTAAAGAGGACGTGAAACTTTGATGAATTTACCTCAGAATCGCGTGTTAATGCGTGCGCATATTTTTAATGGTAATTCAAAATGGCGTCCACCCCGCAGCGAACGCGTCTACCCGTTGCCAGGGGCAACCGCCGTGGTCCGCGCCGGCCGGCAAGAGTAAATAAATAAATAACGCGTTAAATAAATAAATAAAGATAAATCGCACTAAATCGATAATCGGTCCGATTTAAAGTTTAGAGACGAAAAATCGGAAATGCCTAAGTTTACCGCGGGGCCGGGGGCGTGCCCACCTGCAAAATTTAATCTCGCCGAACCCCACGGTCCGAGAGCTAAATCCCCCGGTAGGGAGCGTACGCGGACGGACGGACGGACGGACAAAAAATGAATTATATAGGTTAGATGTCCAGTGCCAAGTCGGCATCGGAAATAATGATTTGCGCGTTCAATAGAAGGGTGCTGTAACAATGTGGGTGCTTCATAGCGATGCACCTTAACATCGCCACAAAGCTCTGGTGAATGCTCCGAATCTGTTTCGCTTTGAAGATTTGAAAAAAACGATTTGTTTATATAGACAGAAGTGTGTAGAGGAGTTTCCATGAGTGGTGTGGTTTAAACTGTTATGATCAAAGATGACTTGGATGTCCTTTCTCAAGTATTTGTCTTAATTGGGTGTCAGTGTGGCTCGGTGGTGATGCGTTTGTGCTTCACAAGAACAGTTTCTTGGTTCGATTCCCAACTGAGGGTCTTTTCTGCGTGGAGTTTGTATGTTCTCCTGTTCTACATGGGTTTCCCCCGGGTTCTGTTTTTACCCATGGCAATTTTCCTTACAATAAAACTGGCATTTGCAATACATCTCAATAATAAAACATTACCTGCAAATTACTCAATTTGGATTGAACTTAGAAAAATCGCTCCCTTCTGCAAAAACTCATCAGAACCCTCTCTTTTAAAAGTGTTGAGACTCGGGGAGGCTTCTGCTGGTAAAAAAATAAAGCAAATAAATAATAAATCACGTGTATTCTTGATGGCTATCGTTATTGAAGGTGTTTTCCTTTGTACAAATAGACCCAACGGGGTAATGTTGTGTCTGACAAGAAAATCTGCTTTCGTTTGGTAAAAAAATTACACGAAAAACCATGCTGCTTTCAGCATGCAAATGGAGGCGGGATGTCAATAAAATGGTGAAGCCGCCCCTTCCCGTTACAGCATTTTGCAATAGCAGTAATGTAGAGCGTGTTGGATCTCAATTGAAGTCACTTGTTACACATGTAGTCTTTCAAATCCTTCCGAGCCGTTGGCTTGTTTCCCCCCAGTGACAGGCCTCCGAATCCATCTTGTATGAGGTTGTAATGCTGAGATGGTGTTTGATGTGTGTGGATGTGCCTCTTTAGTTACATTTATTTATTCATTCGTTTTCACGTTTTGCTTTAAACTTGCGTTGTGTAACCAAACTAGGATTTGTCATGGAACATGTGACACGTCTTGATTTGAAGTTTTCGTGACTGCAGGAATCCATAATCTTTGGTTCTTTTGGTAAAGTCACGTAGGTAAAAATATAATAGATCGCGACGTTTCGATCGCAACACAAGCACCCATCATCGGGTGAGACAAACACAGCAGGAGAACTGACAACGCAGGAGTTCTGCTGCAGTTCTCCTGCTGTGTTTGTCTCACCCGATGACGGTTGCTTGTGTTGCGATCGAAACGTCGCGAACTATTATATTTCTATCTACGTGACTTTACCAAAAGAACGAAGGAGTATGTGACGCGATCCTCGATGCGAAGGTTTGTAAAGCACTCTGTGCAGGCACTTTCAATGATTTCTTACCAGAGGCAGTTTACAAGCTTCTGGCATGGCCGACATTTCTGTGCACGAATCAAATAAAGTTTATGGAGCCTTAATGACACGAGCAATCGTATGCGTAGAAGTCGCTTCAAAGTAAGCGATGAAGCATCGGTGTAACTTTAAATACATTTCTGCACAAATGTCGCGCAGACATTGTTCACCGAAACCTTCAGTTGCATAAAAAACTAATCCGAGTAATAAAAGTTTACACTTTAGTGCAGTACATTTTTATGGCATTCAGTCGCAGTTCCAAACTCTTGAATGAAGAGACAACTAAACCACATCACCTGCTGCGGTGGGAAGTGACAGGAACGAGTGATTTGCTGGCGTTGTGGAAGCATAGGAAAGTGAATCGGTGCTCTGCTCGCAAATGAGCCTTGGTGTCTCATTTATGTGTTTGGGCAGATAAAGTTTCCAACGATATTTGGTGACAAGTTCCCAAATCCTTATATATTTTTCTGCAGATAATAAAGACATCTGATCAAATACTAGATAAAATAACTTTTCTAATGACACATGCATCGCATCTGAGATCTGCTGGCATTCAGTGAGAACTCCCAACGTTGTCATTATGTTGATGAAACTCATGAAGCCATCGCCTTCCTGTTCCATTTGTTCCAGTCACTTAGGTAGAAATGATGATAACCTAGCGAGAAGAGATAGCCCATGGTCAAGAATGACAGAATGGCATCCAAGGAATGGAACGCGACTGAGAAGATGGAGCGATGAAATTTGCGTGTGTGCAGGTCCTAAGTTCATCCAGCATGTTATCTGATTAGTCAAATATATAATCAAATATTTTCATTGGTACAGTAATGTATTATTTAAACCATGGAATATCCCAGCTGTAATTATACATATATTTTTAACGCTTTACAACTACGGTTGAAAGCTTTTATACATGAGCTCTGTTCGTCTGTCTTGTCCATCTGTCTGTAATATGTCATGACTATAACTCACGTGAAGATGATCCCACACGAACCAAACTTTACTACAAAGTTTTCTTGCTGTCAGGAACTGGCCCAAGAGAAAACCGACCACATGGATGAAAGGACTGCCCAATACTTGGGAGACCCAAACCAGAGAAAAAAAATTCCCTTTGCAAAAATGCAAATGCATTTGCCCCAACAACTATCTGTTGGATTCTGGAATATTAATCATCATGTATTTCCGAGAACAAACGCATGTTGGCAAGTACTACATTATTAATGTGAACGCGTGATTTTTCTTCATGTTTTTCTTGCAGCACGATGACTCTGACTCAGAGGAATCGGAGCGGCCGGGCAGCCCCGAGGTGATGAGCTCCACGGGCAGCAGTGGCACGAGCCTGAACAGGGAGGACCGCTTCGGAGGCCGGGCCGAGAGACGACCTCTGCTTAGCCCTGGTGAGGCCCCCGCCCTCCCCACCCAATTCCTCTCCCCTGTCTCACACACTTATACCGATTTTCTGCTGGCCAGGCCAGCACTGTGCTCTGCCGATTGGGTTGTTTTCTGCTGGCTTACTTGAAATGTAGGCTGACACGTTCAGCGTGCAATGTGCTAACCAGTGCGCCACTGCTCCACCGCCGAATATACAACAACTTATAGCATATATAGATACTATTTGTTAATTTGATGCGCATTAAACTGAACAATTTGTGAATGCATATCATCAGAAAATAGTGTCATGGCCATGTCAGCCAGTGCTTTAGATATGTACCAGAGGACTTTGGAAAAAATGGCTTCTGTGAGATAAAAAAAATCCTTTTTAAGAGTTTTGCTCAGTTTGAAGTTATATTCTTGTAAAAACCCAAGTCAGTGACAGTTAAATGCTCTTTGGTAGAAGGCTTCTTTTTATTGTAAGAAATCAAATCTATATCTATCATTTGTATGATATCGATGATGGGTTTTACACAATGTATATCGAGTTTGTAATGTGTAGTGCGTGTAAATCTTAAACCCCAAGTTGTTCATCTTATTGCTGTTTTTGAGTGTTGTTTTTAATTCGTTTAATTACAGTTGATTGTGCGTGATTTTCTTTTGGTGCGGTCTTGCTTCTGCGGTGATAAAACCTGGCCAGTCGGCGCTTGACCAGGTCTGTTTAATAGAATGTTTCACGTTGTAAATTGCAAAGTCAATGTTACATTCTCAGTCCACTCGGTGCTTTGCGCGCTGCTTGCAGTTTAATGCGGTGGGTAAAAGTGCTAAATACTAATTGATATACAGAAGCTATTAAAGGCTGACTTGAACAGAAATGAAGGCATTAAATGGAACAGCCTATTGGTGCGTGAGAGTTTCACATGATTGTATCTGCTGTGTGCGCTCAAGCGATGGTAAAGTGTCATCGGTGAATGCGAACCCACAGACTAATTGTATCTTTGCATCACCTGGCAAAGCCAAATGCTTAAGTTGGGATGTTTCGTCATTTATGCTTGTAGAAAATGTGTTCAGAGACACATTTTTATAAAATTAGTATGTTAATTGTTGATATCACATCTGAAATTATAGCAGATATGTGTTTTTTATATGCAACCTTATCATATCAAGGTCTTATTTTTAGTTGCTAGTTTTGATTAATTTTATCATAAAACAATATGTTTTTATCATTCACACATTTTTATTGTCTATATGAAGACATCACTTTTTCTATGCATCTTATACAATATACACTTTGTAAAAATAAATGTACAGCCCTTTGTCAATCAAATTCTGGATAAAGGCCTCCTCAAGCCATCACAACTTGTCATGGTCCTGCGAAGTAGCAATCCATGTTCCCTCCTTGGGCTGCCATGCCATCGTCGGTATTAACCGCTGGCGCTCGTCCCTTCGAGCAGCGTATGCAGGCCAGGCCTCTACCTCCTTTCCTTATTGAGTGTTAAGAACTATCCCTCTAAGCTGAACTCAACGAGCCAACCTGAACCGAGCACTGTCCCTACTACTGTATGTATGTTGAACTTCTTTCGCACTGTATGTAGCCGACTGTGCTCATCAGAGGTGATGACTTTTACTCATGAACCACCCTTGGTAGTTTTTGTAGCTCCATTGACATTGTTCGTTCGCGTTTTGCTCCATGCCTTTAAAGTGCTGTGTGTGCTTATTGTTCTGTCGCGCAGAAACGGAAAGTCCGACCTTACGGAGGCCCGATCTGTTTGATATCACACAGCGTGCTGAGATGGGTCAGATGGCCTCCATATTTTTCAACAAAGGTACACGCATTATTGCACGGGACATGTCTTTAACTCTTTTAGCAGTCAGCAGTGACTAGAGGGCAGTGAATTAACCCATCACGTCACACCTGTGGAGTGGTGACATAACTAAGAGAGCAATGTAAGCATCAACATTGTTCAATTTGGAGAACAGTTTCTGCTGATTTATAAAGAGGAATTGATCTAAAATGTGACCAATGTCATTTTGAATGGATCTCGTTGAGATTTTATCTTGTTAGTATCCAGTATAAACTGTTCTTCCTTTTGATGATCCAATTAGTCTCAAGCAAAATATATATGAAACAATCTATAATTTATAGACCTTTTCCCATCCACTGCTGGATGGAGCCCTCCCCACACTGTGGCAGTCGTGGGGGTCGTATTACCATACGTTACCATACGTTACCATACGTTACCATACGTTACCATACGTTACCATACGTTATCACATTGCTCAGTATGGTTTCTGAATGTGGGAGCTCAGACTGGTTTCGATATCACTCGTCATGGGAATCCAACTCGGGTTACTTTTGGAATAATAATAATCTTTAAGAATAAATATGTCTCCTTTATTGTCCTGGGATTATCACAATACTGTAGGCCTATTATTACAACTATTTTCTATAATAATAGACCTGCAATAATTATTTTATTAGCAAGCGATCGGCATACATGAGCACGCTGCCATCAGGGCCAGCTGCTCTGCCACAGCGTAACCGATGAGTTGAATCAGCGTGTCATCGGTGTGCAATCGGAACATTGCCATGACGACCAGTGGCACGTTGCCGGAATACCCGGCTTGAGTAATTCACGTTAATTCGGCGTTAAACTGGTGTTGGGTCAGCGTGTGGCTTCTCCGGGCCAGTAAGTGCTGTGCCAAAGCACCGGCCTTGCATAATTCGCTAAAACTAGCATACAAACCTTAAACACTCCCCCTTCCTCCCCACATGTTCTCTTCATGGGACTTGGGCAGCAGCGTCATCTGTAGAATCCATCTGAATGTGGTGGCTGAAAGAGGCGCTTGGTCTTAGATTGCAGTACGCCCGAATGTAGAAAAACTAGATAGTACGGCAGCGCTTCGCTAAAATGTTCCGTCTTGGCTCAGACATTGACTGGATTGACTTGTGCAGTCCACTCGGTTGTCATGGCGGCTGTAGAAGAAACATTGTGAAGTGGACCCTGTCTCACCAGCTGAGGAATCATTGTTGGGTGATAGTAAGAATTACTGCAACGAAGGTAGGAGATATAAAAGGATTTTCTGGATTAAGGTCCAAACATGGGAATGTCATTGAAATTTGAGCAGCTAAATCAAACATGCTAGACGGTGAGCTTAAATTGTATATCATAGAGATTTTTAGGATCAGCCAAGTAAGACGGATAGATTCCGGTAAGTCAACGGGAGATGAGTAGATATTTTTGTATGGCGAGCAGAAGAGCTGAGCAACTTCAAGCAGGTGTCGGGATTCTCATTAGAAATACATTTGTACAGTGTGTTTCCAGGTTTGTTGCAGTAAGTGAGTGGATTATTCTAGTTAGGATGAGGCTTAGGCATTGTGTTTATCAACTGAGGCCGTACCGGATGATGTTAGAGTAGTTTATGATGGGAGAGCAGTGTACCTTCAATGCAATGCTCAAGCATTATATATTTTTTGCGTTTAAAAGCGTTTATAGCACAATAGGCATCAAGTATGATGAATGGTGACGTGTTAGGCCAACATGGGATAGTACATCAGAATGGAATTGGAGCTAAGCTGCTTGAGTTTTGGAGTGATAATTGCCTGTAATGCCTAGTTTGGTTTAGTTTACACCCCTTTCTCAATCCACTGCTGGATGAAGGCCTCCCTACGCTGTGTCAGTGGTGTTGTTCTACCATGCTTGATTCCTACATCTCTTCCATTATGTGAATGGAAGAGTAGGCCAAATACCCTCTGAGAAGGGCTCTAGAGCGTTGGAGTCTCATGTCGAGAGAGAGGGAGAGGGCCCTTTCCTCCAGGATTGGCAATTCAACAGCAATGGTTCAAGCAAGCCTGACTGCCGATGACACCCTGTATGTCGAAACCGGTCCTACGCTTGCTTGTCTTGACCCAATGGTGCTGAAATGATGCGCTCCCAGAAGGCCGTATTGACTATTTTTTATGTGGACGGATATCTGAAGGAGACGTATTGTCTGCTACGTGTTCAGTTTTTATTTTATATTTTCCACAGTGACGCTAATGACTATGCTGTGTTAAGTAGTTAATATTGGGGTCACCATTCCAGGTAATATTGTTAATTATAGTATCATCATCGAGTGTGTTTTTTTCATATCGAAGTTTAAAAAAATCTTGTTGTGTTCGCATCGTGCACACCGATGCCAGTAAGAGGCATTAACAGCTGCTTGTTGTTGTGTTGAGTTGTTGTCCTTCCCCCACACAACCAATTATCGCAAGTTGGCTGCGAATGGTACGAACAAAGTTTCACATACACACACATGATTTGAAGCTTTCATGACTGCAGGAATCCATACTCTTTGGTTCTTTCAGTAAAGTCACGTAGTTATTTTATTTCAAAGTACGTGACTTTACCGAAAGAACGCACACATACGTATACGACTCAAGTTGCGAACGTTGTCGGAATGTTAATATTGTTGTGACATTACCATCAGCAGCAGTGATTCGCAATGCAAAGCAGCACAGGGAATCATGGCTGCCCATTCATCCATCATTCTTGCACTTTATGAGGTTCCTGGAAAATCCCTCAGCCTGCTCCATTATCCCCCTTCTAATGTGTTTTGTATTTATTGTAGTTTGCAGGTGATTTTTCCCTTGATTTTTTATTTATAGGCTGTCAATAAAAGTATCATCCATTATTAAAGCGTTATAATTAGATAGCAATTTGAACTACGTCCATAAAACCTTACACACACACATACACACGCTTCATACTTTGATGTTTTTAACGTGTGATTTTCATCTCACTAAGCCTCCCATATGTCTAATATGACATTGGTAGCATGCATCAATATTTTGGAGTACCAGGTGTTCACCAACAATCTCAGGTTGTGATTGTTTTGAATGCTTCTGTTCCAGCCATTGGATGATCAAGGAAGATTTTCAGTGTCTGTGGCATACACTTTGCCCCAACATTCTACTCCGCATAGTAGTAATAATGATTATGGATGATAACTGTATGGACACCATGCACATTGTGTCTACATAGACATAATACACAGTACATTTTTATACACAAAACCAACGTATTCTTCTAGTTAACTTACAATGCTTTACTACATTAGAGCTTTTTTATTGATTTTAAGAGTACGCCATTCTGTATCCCGTCTTAAATGAGATTTTTAGCAAGTGTGTCGTTTAAAGCGGGGTTATTAATAGATACCTGCCGGGTGATCGGAAACGTAAATTTCTCTCGACGTAAATATGCTGCAAATGCAGTCGGAGAACGTTCCTGTAGTGCTCCCCACTGCCGGCTTTAGATTTGGCTTTTAAGCCTCCAGTATGGAGAAAGTGTCTCTGCAAAAGCATTCATCGGATTGACAGAGGGGCATATTGGCCATACAATTTGACCAAATGCAGCCACAGGTAGTGGAGATATTGATCACCGCGTGATGGATACCTCAATTCACTTTCTGTTTTCACAGTCCCCGCGTCCGCTCTTGCTTTACAGCCTGGCAGGCTCCTGAATGCCGCGCCGGGAACGAAACAAATGCAGGACGACTGCCAGTTCAGATTTGTCGAGTTTAATGCGGGCGGGCTCGCTCGAAAGATCTCTTTACCCACGTGTAGAGTTTGTAGCCAGCCGTATTGTCTGTGGCTGTCTGCCCCTGTGTGCATGTCGCTGGCATCTGATTGTTGTGTGTGTGTGTCTGAGTATATCCGTGTGTGTGGGGGGTGGGGGGGGGGTGAGGTGGAACCTGCCAACCTGAGTTCAATTCGCAGTCATGGCTGACTTTAGTGGCGAAGAACTGAAGAGGTTCTAATGCTTCCTTAGGTCGACTCAGCCTCAAATGAATACCTACTGCAGTGTCTAAACATCAGCACTGAGAATACAAAGGTGGTCAGGTATGGGACTGGCCAAACCGATCCCCTCATGCGCTGTGCCGGCCTCAATAGATGCCCTCTTACAGCATTTGCTCAATAGGGGATGTTTTTCGTGTACATCTGTCGTATACGCGTTTATATGTGTGTATGGACGAGGCTCGTGAAGGATGTTCCTGGGTAGTTGGAGGCAGTCGCCTTCTAACAACAACAGAGGGCAAAGGAGCAGCGCTCAAAATAACGAGCAGAGCGCTGGGCGGCTAAAATGCACTAAGTTGGCACAGTGGGGGGCACAGCTGGTGCATCTGTTAGTCATCTCAGTCAGTCAACCCATGGCATCCGGATTTGTCCCATGACTTCCTGTCAGCGAGCCTTCGACAATTCTCACGGCCTCAAAGTGCATCTGGCCTGGCACAGGTGCCGTGGTGACATCACCGCCACTTTGTGGTGAATGGTGGTTGTTGTTATTTATGTGTGAGTATGATGGTATAGCTTTGTGCCTGTGTATTTGTCTATATGTATGTAAATTTACGTGTGTGTCCTTGTGCTGCTGTCCCTCCCTTTTGTTTCATTGTCTCCCAGTGGGCCTGCACCTGTTCTACCTGTGCATTGTCATCTACCTGTACGGAGACCTGGCCATTTACGCCGCCGCCGTCCCACACTCGCTGGCCTTCGTCGCATGGTAAGTAGACGCACACGACACGTAGAAGGGTGGACACTCTGATTCCTACTGGCTGAATGCATAGCGGGAGTTCATAGAAATCGTAGCATGAGTTAAAATCCTACACTTTCTGTAAATGATGGGAAAACCCATAACAGGAAAATGCGTACTGGCTGGAAACAATAATATTGCAAATTTTTACGCGCACAATATTTCACGAAGATATATGACCGTGACTCTGACTCATGACGTCAAATTGAGTGTCGCTCGAAAGCCAGGCGATAGAAGTGTGGCCTTCAAGTGTCTCTTAAAAGTCGGTGTAGATTTAATGCCGCTGCGAATCTGCAGCAACGGGATGATGGCGTTCGAGACGGCGGAGGTTGGCATGGAGAAACGACACTCGGCAGTGATGGTCCTGCTCCTTGGTGTAGAGAGGAGGAGGTTGCGAGTGCCGCTGCTGTTGCAGAGAGTTCTACGATGAGAGCTGTAGTACAGGGAGACAGGAGAGTGAAGAGAGACACGGGGGAAGATTGCAGTGGCACAGGCAGCAGACGATGTAGCTGACCCTGCTGCCGATGATGGAAGCCAGCGGAGGGAGGCGAGGGTGTCCAGCTGAGGATGACAGGCGACGAGGATGACGCGGGCGAGATGGTTTTGTCACCGTTAGAGTTTCTTGAGGTTACTCGAAGAAGATTGAATCGGACTGGAAATTATTAGACAAGACTGAGAGCATTATACGTGCAACGCGGTGGTCATATTACATGCATGCAAGACGTATGGATGGGAGTCATGCCTTCCTGTTGTTTGTGAGCAGCTCACCTTTGTGTGTTGTTAAATCTAAATAATGTAAATGTTGGTCAGTGTATGAGCATGTTCATTGTGTCGTTGTGTATTTGTGTCAAGGTGGTTTGCTTGTGCGAAATTAGTGTGTTTTGTCCATATTGTAAAAGCATATGCAGCAAATGGTTATAATTTACTGAAAGAGAAATAACCCTTTCATTTGGTTGCACGCCTGTAATCCATTGCTATGAGGCAAGTGTTTCTGGATCACTTAGAGTTGTGATAATTCAGCACCTGCTGGGAGATAGCAGTGGATTTATAAAACCATCTGTGCATACTTTGGAGTTTTATTGCATCTGTGAGTTTCCTTTTTGTGTTTCCGTTTTCTTCCACAAGCAAAGTGCAACCGAAACCGAAATCGGTCGGACATCCCAATTTACCATCCTCCTAAAAATAATCTTGACTCAGTGAAGGTTTTCTGAATTGATCAATGAGATTAATCTTGACGAGAAGCATTCCTTTATGATGGAACGTTTGAACTGGTTTAATTACTGATTTCCATTAGCGCATCTATGGCATCTGAAACCAGTGCAACTGGGTTTCCTTGTGTTATGATGGGAAACCTGCATGCACAGTGTTATAAAAATGAGTTGAGAACATTTAAAAAGATTTCAACTCGTTAATGCCAGAAGCAAAAAATAGCCAAGATATATGAACAGAAAGCCGTTTAAATGTTGGTTCTAAAAAAGACAAGGTTATAATACAATTACATTTGGATAAAGGTCTCTTCTACATTCTCAAACCACCCAATTAAAGCATACTTCGGGAGAGTGACTGCCTATCAATTTTATAGTAATTTCATAGTTAATAAATTAGGCTTTTCCAGATTAGGCAGATTTTTTTTTTGCATAAACCACCAGTGTGGAAGCCACATGGGCAGTATATTAACGTCCACAGGGCGCTGGGATCGAGACCATTAACCAAGCTCCCTTTCCATATCAACTGCATCTGGAGTGTGTTCCGAGCAATTCTCCCAGGAATCCAGTGCAAATTTTGACCTGCAGGTTCCAGGCGAAGTAATCTGATATCGTGGTTTGGCACACCGACCCACGCGGTTGCCCACATTATTTCCTTAATTTACTCATGCTTTTTGACGTTCCTACATAATGGATTTGCAGCCGGTGTGCGGATTGGCATTTTCGTCACGTTTCACAGTGCACAGGTCTGCTGCGCATGATCTCTAGGCATAGAGCTCTGCCACTCCCGTATTTGAGGCCGGATGATTGGGGGCTCTGACGGTTTACATTTATATTATTTGAAATACATTTGGGCGTGACGAATTTGCTTGAACAGGAACGCCATTTTCAGGAATGTTCAGTGCCTGCAGCGGACAAGACTGGGGCATGAGACTGGCTCATGCGATTCTGTAGCATCTGTTATTGGGGAACATTGAGGTTTGAGGTTCATTAATAAATGACCCTTAGGGATTACAGCATGAGGTTGGGTATAAATGCTGAACCCTTCCAATGTGCTTGCTCTGTGACAAGTGCATTAAAAGCAAGGCTATCCATTCATCCTATAATTATATATTAATTCAACTGTTGCATTTAAAATCGGAGCTTGTGAACATGAACATACACTGCCTGCTAATTAATATAGGTTTTGGATTATTCAAAAAGGGGAGGAGGAAGGGAGACGTGACACGTCGTGGAAAGAATTTTGCTGCTCGGAGCAAATGACGTGGGAATAGAGGGTGATGGCTGTCAGGTCAAGATGCCTCCAATTTCATGTGGACATTATGCTGGCCAGATATTCAGAACACACAATTCCCCACCTAAACCATGGATAAATAACATTCTCAGTGATGTTGCCTGCGGGAAAGAGGCTGAGATTGAAAAAGCTTCATCACCATCTTGTCATTGTTCGTATTTGTCTGATGTATTTAATTATTTGTTAACATCATTTAAATGTATGCGTACGTTTTTACACTTGTTTTACAATTAAAGATGTGTCATTCATCATATGGTACTGTGGTTACAGTGGACGTTTGAGAGTTAAAATCCTAGCCAGGGGTCGTTGACTCAACCCATAATTCCTCTGGGGTCAATACAATGAGTGATACTTTGTGTGTAGTCAATAGCAGCCATCCCATGGAGAGACCTGGTCTTTTCCATAGCAGTGTGGAATTTTCATCGTTCACCTCCTCCAGTGTAGGTGAATTGCATCTGCAACTTGGCGAAATGGGCTTGTGTTGTGTTTGTTTTCCCCACTCCTGAAATGTATGAAATGACATTTTCTTTCTTGACAAATGTAATTTAACGATTCTGGATTAAGCAGCAGTCTAACAAGGGTACATTTCTCTGCAGCCGCATCATGACCCAACTAACCACTGCCGACTTTTATGATACATTATTACCTTACTGAAACAATGCACTGTTGTCACCACAAACAAATGTTATATGCAGCGACAAGACTCTTGGTTTATGACATCACGTTGCCTTGCCGGCGTATTTTTTTATGTTAAGATTAATATTAAATCCAGTGTGCTAAATCAACTTTTAATTTGGGAGTTCACTGCTTAGAAAACAAACATATTGCTGTTTAACACTTAAGCTTTCGTGACCAATATTCATAATAGAGGTGTTTTCGGTTAGATCGCATGAGTATAAATGTGTCATTAAACCGGTGTGTTGTGGGTTTACTCTCCAACACACTGGTGTGCTGAACTGGTAACTAATTGGCATCTTTTTTTTATGTGACAAACCTTACTAGTTGACTGTCGGGTGGTGGCGGGTTTAACGACACATTTATATTTACGAAATCTAACTAAAAAAACTATCATAGATATATGGCTTCTCTTTATATAGTATAAGTATACTTGTGTGAGGCTAACAATACCATTGGACATGCAGTTATTTTCCGACACCTTTGCTCGAGAGTGGATTGCCATTCGATTGCCAAGTTCCATCACAGGAGACGAGAAAGCATTTGACGTGCGTCGTGTAAGAGCCACGCAATGGTTTGTGGGTCCCATAGATTCAATTCGCAAGTGAGGTGGCTGGGTAGCCCATAGTGCTGATGCTGTGCCAGATCACCGAGCTGACACAGCTGATATCTTGGTATGAAATACAGGCAAAGAAGCATGATTAATTCAGGTTCTCAAAAGGTGTAATGCATTGAGGGTCTTAGCCCAGTCCACCAATGAGTCCATACAAACGCCATGAGGTTAAATTTGGTTTTACTGAATTCTGTATGTTTCCAGCATTGCCGACTAAAATGAATATATATTTCGAGGCCTTACTCAGACACAAGGTACACTGTTAGCAGCCAGAGTTGTGGATGTAGATGTATTCGTCCCGTGACATGATGCGGATCACGAGATTGGAATATAAATGGGTGGGGAGGAGTTAGATGAAAGGTTTTAATTGGTACTAACAGTTAATGATTTGATATTATTGAAAATCCGTTAAAAAGTAAAGTGGAGGTTGAGGAGCTTGGACCTGCAATGAAATCGCCATCAGTCAAACCTTTGCGTATTGACGCTGCGCTAATCTGTGTTGCATGTGACACAAATGAATGAGTAGATACATATTCTATCTTCATGTGCATCGATGAGCGAACAATGGATTGCAGCGTTGCTTTGTCGTACATTCGACTTCGTCTTCCCCTTTGAGAAGCCACAGTGCCACCCCCTTGCAGATGTTTGTGGAACAGTTCAATTAAATCAATGTTTAGCAGCAGGGCGTTTGCATTGTGGAGCAAACGCACCATGAGTGTCCTCAAATTCAAGCCCTGGGGTTAATCGTGGCAGAGAGTATTTAATCACAATTACACATTTTCTAGGAAAGATAATGTCATTAATTAAAATGACAGTGAATCAGCCAAATTAATTGAATTACAATTTGTTTTTCTTTAATCAAAGAAATGTGGAAAATCAAGGGAAGAATGATTTTGCATGTGCGAGTGTGCATGTCGGTCATGTAATTTTTAGTAATTTACAATCTCCGTTTTAATTGAGTGAACTTATTTTCGAAGTATTTGTTTTGTTATTCATATTCTTAGTACCGTAATTATGGCTCAAGATGGGAACTGTATGCTTGAGCATACTTTACGGTTATTGTTTGTAAGTGTGATGTAAATGAGAAGTACATGAGAATATGTTTTTCAGTATTTAAAATTGCAGTTATTAGTTAACAAATGAGGATAAGAAAGGCAAACTAACAAACACATAAATGCACAAGCACATCATTGTTGTACGTATGTATGACGAACTTCTTGTACACTGTACGTAGCCAAATAAAATAAATCTGCGCCACCCGCAAATCGAACCTGGGTCAAAAGAATGGGAGAATGAAAACGAAAGAATGTGAGTCATCCATGGCACCACGACACGAGCGGTGGGGATAGATCCTTAGCTCATGGCGATGGCCACCTGTCTTGACCACGGGCATTGAATAAAGGCCCACACAGGCCTGAGAATAGAGAACTTATGACGACTTAAAGCTGCCCACACATTCCACAAGACGAATGTTCAGGCTTCACATTTTTGTAATTTTGCAGTGGCATTCATATTTACCTTGAGCCCAACCTTGCAGCTTAAGTACCTTAATCGTTTCTTAATCGTTATTTTTAAATACTTTCCAATTCGTTGATATAAAGACTATGTCATCATATACTGACCAGCGTGGTGAAGTATGGTCAAAAAACTCCACGACCCACTGTAGAGAGGAAATGTATAAAAAAGCAGTCCATGTACAATTTAATTCAAGTTTTTATTACATTTTGATGACTTTTAAATTTTTCAAAGTGAAACTTTTCACATGATACAGCACACTAAATGCCTGGATAGTCCCTGCAATAGCCCCCGAGTTGTTTAGTGTGTGGTTTGTTCCCGAAAAGCTTTATCTGCACCTTGGAAGTTTTATATTCTGTGTCCATTATATTTTATCTTGCAGCGTTTTCCATTCTTTGGACACATTCACTTCTATTCCCCAGGCCACAAGAGCCCCACTTGGCATCGAGTATCTTCACATCACTGGGCTGTCACCTGCCTGAACCATAAAGGATTTTTAGCGACACTTACCTTAACAATAAATTAATCAATCACGAATTCATTAGAGGTTAATTAAACTGACACGGGGAAACCAAAGTTGATTAGTTAGAAGGCTTTGATATGCTCAACATTGATTTATATTTTAAAATGTCTCTGCATTGCATAATTTTCTAGTGGCTATATTTTGATGACTGGATGGAAACACCGATCTAATTACATATCCAAATGAATAGATTTAAGTTTGCATATTGTATGCCTGCAATTTCTGAAAGGTTTCAACATATATTTAAAAAGGGGGCATGTTAAAATTTTTGGTGCAGGTTATACAAGATTGTGCTTGGCCCTGACATACCTTAGCATGGTAGTGAATGGAAGTGACAGCAGGTTATGTAAGTTTAGCGGTACATGCTGCTACACCAGACACTTCGGTTGCATAACCTCGCATTCTGCAGAACATTTTGAGTGCAGCCTTTCGATGTGTAATTTTCATGAAGGACTTAAGTAGTTTAACACTTGAAAATGTTACAAGTTTGCGCACCATTTAAATAACAAAACGATCATTTGCAGTTTTAAATCGTGTTGCCGAACTGTTCAACCCGTCCAACACTTGTTCAGTAATGCTTCGATAATCATTGGTTCTCAATGCATTCCAACGATGCAATTGTAGCATTCATAACAGTTACACAACAGATGTCACTGGAGTACCTGAATTATAATACAGTAAAACCCGGATGGTCGGCAAAAACCTCCATCACAGCTCCCTCCTGTAAACATCAGCAGCCAATCATAACTTCATCCTTCATATCCCCCGCAATCTCCTGGTAAGTCAAAGACCTGACCGCCGGACAGTCCGCATGTTTAATTCATCGTTTCGCCGGTGTTTACAACGTGGCTCATGTTGGGATTTGGGAAGACTGAGACGGACGATGTTGTCGATCTGAATTTCTGCCTCGTAAATGCACACAAGTCACTGTAAGCAATGCTCGGCAGAGGCCACTGGAGGGCAGCAGTTCGCAGAGGGTGCCTCCTTTCATCTCACCAAGAGCCAGACCCCCCCCCCGTTCTTAGTGCTGCAATGTGGTATGCCATTGATCCATTAGCTGTAATGGCTGAGGATGTGTAACTATAATGGTCTGAGACGTGAATTGAATTGTTGATTAATGGTAAACAACTGGCATGGCTTGGCAATTTTGATGAAAATAAAAGGGAGACTGCATTGTTTAGAAATTTCCACTCTACCCTCTTAATTTGTATGCACAGTATAACGTTGACTGCACATATTAGTTTTTGGGGTTCACAATGGCCTTGTGTGTACTGTACATTGAACTTTTTTCACACTCATCGGAGGTGCGGGGGAGGAGAACAGACTAGTTATGTTTCATTGGATGAATTGATGAAATTAATAATAAATTATGGTTATATGGATGGACAAAACTGAAATATTAAATTTCGATTTAAAGCTTTCGTGACTGCAGGGATTCATCTTCTTGGTTCTTTCGGTAAAGTCACGTAGAAGGGAAGTAATAAAATAATAAAAATAAAACATAATAAAACAATTCTCACGACGTTTCGGCCACAACGCAAGCAGCCGTCCTTCGCCTGAGGACGGCTGCTTGCTTTACCGAAAAGAACCAAGAAGATGAAATATTAAAATTGCATTTAATTACAAGAGGTATTAATGTAGCATTTAAAAAAAGTGTTAACATTAAAATGTGTTTTTTATGGACAATATATATGAATACAAACCAAATAATGGAATGTCACTAATAAAATCTGCAGTCAGAAAGTCTTTCAAGCCAACCACAAGTGACTACATAAACATTTAAAAATGAAAGCTTTGAAATTGTACTTGCACTTATTGCATTTAAATTAACACCTCCGTAGCAGGGTGTGTGAGAAGATCCACTACCTAGTGTGGGTAACTGGGAATTGCATCTTCCAGAGGTCATTGGGGTGATGCACTGCTTTTTGTTCAGAATAAAAATGTCATCAAATCATATGGCACCGTTATCACAATTTCAATA